CACAAGAACAAAATATCGGGCTCATGCAATGCTGCGAACGGGTCCATCGATATGAAATACTGTGTTGTTATTCGTTATTCAGGTGGATATGTCACTTCAGTGATAATCTTAAGGGTCGGATGCTTAGCATTGAACTCATGCTGTAAATAGCTTGTACAAGATCCCGGGTTGCGGTGAAGGAAACCCCGCGTCGTAGAGCGCAGACCATCCACACTCCACGCAGGCCGCAGCCCTCATTTGCGCCAGCCCTTTACGTGTGGCGTGTAATGAAAAAGGACTACTCTTTAGCATGGTGCTCCATCTTTCCTGTTTAAGCCCTATTCAAGAGCTCAAGATACAACGCTGAGAGTCACGGTAAAAGATCAGCCCTCACGGGCACACAGGAAGTATATATATATATATATATATATATATATATATATATATATATATATATATATATATATGTATATATATATATATATATCCAGCTTGACAATTTTTCCTCAGCTGACACCGCGCAACCGTAACCAGCCGCTTGACGTGCAATTTATTTCAGGACACGAAGTACGTTATGGCAGCACTTTGCGGCGAAAAGCACGGCCATGACGCACCCGCATATGGTATGCACTGCCACCACAGAGCCGATTTTGCAGTTTTAACTTTAAAGAAATATTGTAACTTAAATGGTAAAGAGCTAGGCAGGGTTTTTCCAACGTTCGTTCGTTTTTAAGACCCAATGCCAATGGCAAGCTGCACTCAAACAGTAGCTGTGCTGGTAGTGTCAGTTCTTTGAGGATTCGGAAACGTTAGCTTATTCAGAACGAAATGAAACTGGCGTTCGCGCCAGTACCTATCAAACATCGCCAACACCGCAAGGATATTGCCAGCGCGTTACATGTAGGCATTAGAGTTTCAGTGGAAGATCGCACTTCAAGTTTATGCCAGTTAAATGCCAGCCAAAAACTCATTCAGATGCAATTATGTTTGGCTATCAAACGGCGTTGGATATCATAACAAGTTTGAACGTTCATTTGATTTTCGTTGATGAACGTTCATTTGATCATTTAAAATGCATGAATTACGCAGAACTAAAGTTGATACGGACAGGCGGTCATGATATTCTGCGACGTGTTGATCTGTAAAAGCCTTGAGCTTTTTTCTGCGATTGTGAGTGTGGATACTGAAAATAACTAACATGCGATATGCCAGGCGGCACAGTTGCATCACGAGGGATCCAACCAAAAGGCTGACTACGAATGTCAACGGCCTGATCACCACAGCAAACCCCTTAGTGGTTGTTTATTGATGTTTTCGGGTACGTCGACTGCAATGGCGGGCAACACTTCACAAAGGTCAACGGTGAACATAACCCTAGTTATGCCTACGGTAACCTAAACACCCATAAAACGGACAACCCCTGAGACCAATCATATCTCAAACCCCAACGCCCACCTAACAGCTGGCAAAGACTTTAAATGGCACGATTAAACTCCACACATCAGCAGAATACAGCCTGAAATCAACAGCATACTTCATGTACTTTATCAGGCATTGCAATATTACTGGTTTACTTGCTTCATTAGGCGTGGACATTCTGTTCACAAACGTGCCTGTTGATGGAACAATTCAAATTATACTCGACTGCGTCTGCAATCACTCAACCTTGCGACCATTGAAACTGTCACGATCCATCCTCGGAAAAAACTGTTCCGATGCTGCAAACAGAGGCACTTGTTCGCTATCCAAACGGAAGACTCTGCCGCCAAGACGGAAGACTCTGCCGCCAAGTAGACGGTGTCGCCGTGGGGTCACCGCTCGGATGTCTGTTTGCAAATATGTACATGTGCTGGCTGGAGAACCGTGTCTTCAAAAACGTTAACCTTAAACCGCACATAGACTGCAGATATGACGATGACACATTCGTTTATGTCAGAGGCGAGGCCCAGCTCCAGCAAATGCGGGCCACCATGCAGCGGCAATCGTCATTACGATTTACAGCTAACTTGAGTGTCGACAACCATTAATCTTTTCCTTGCATCGATGTGGATGTGAGCAGCGGATCTTTCTTCACAACAGTGCAACATAAACCCGCTGATACTTGTTAATACATCACCGAGGCCAGCGAATGCCCAGAGCGTTACCGCACGGCCGTCATTCGTTTGTTTGTACGACATGCCGTAAAGTATTGCTCCAGCTGAACCACCATGCATCACGAGCTGGATCGGTGTAGGTAATTGCTCGTTAATAATGGCTATTCGAACAGAGCAACCGACGGAGAAATTGAGTCCACCTTGAGTCGACTTAAACAGAGACCATTTGACAGGAAACCGGCTGATCAACCTTTTATCTAAATTAAATGTCCCCGTCATCTAAAATGAATGAAAAAGTTTTGCGGAACATCATCAAGACAAACATCACACCGACTGTCGAAAACACTGAAATGAGAGTTACCATCTATTACAAGGGCAGAACACCTAGTAGCCTTATGATGAAAAAACAGCCGGACAGCGGACCGAAACCAACTGAAGTGCACCAATATAGCATGTGAATTTAGATACCTTTACTGAGACTGCCGGGTTCGCAACTCTACCTTTATTGGAATGATCACAACAGCTCTATCACGACGCATGACTACGCACCTGCAGGAGGGAGCGTCAGACCAAGATATGCGCAAAACCCACAACCAAAGACTCCTACACGCTGACCTGACCGAAAACATACTGATCCTAAAATCATGTTCGAACAAACACCGTCTACAAGTTCTTGGAGCCATCCTCATCAGAGAAAGAACGTCTGGCTTAACCAAAATGCTCAAGTCATACAAAACTTTGGGCCTGTTCAGTCACCCAATGACAGCAGGGTGATTCGATGTCTTCATCTTTCCATGGTGCTAAACTGGCTGGAAAAGCGATATATGTATGCTTGTATGTGTTTGGGAATTTGACTAGACGTTGGAATGCATAATCTGTTAACTGACGATTCACCAATGATTATGTCTCGTACAGCATGCCTCACATTTTTCCATATTCGAATGTTTTCCTCCTTGAAACGTTGCTAGCTTGAACTAATGTATATGGCTATAGGCGAGTTTATTTATGACTTACCGAAACACCGAAGGATTTAATTTGAGCAATCGAGCAAATGCACAAAACAACTTAAATTGTTCATTCGCCCTTGCCTCTAACAAAACCTGCATTAATGAAAGCATACTGCCCAAGTACGTGAATATATATATATATATATATATATATATATATATATATATATATATATATAGTGTGTGTGTGTGTGTGTGTGTGTGTGTGTGTGTGTGTGTGTGTGTGTGTGTGTGTGTGTGTGTGTGTGTGTGTGTGTGTGTGTGTGTGTGTATGTGTGTGCGTGCGTGCGTGCGTGCATGCGTGTGTGTGTGGAAAAAGTGGATCATTAAGTCCCCCAGAAATACAGGGGTATTCACAATGCCTGAGGGTAAAGTGAATGATCGGGAGCATGGGTGTGACCACTGGGTGGGATGGGGGGGGGGGGGGAGGAGGGAGGCATAACGGCAGCAGCATCGTTGATTGTGGCCCGCACTCGACTACACATGGCGTGCCAAGAAAATTGCTGAAATCTGCACGCTGCTTTGGAGTGCACTGCGTAGTTCGTACCGCAAAGACTAAAAATAAATGTGCATAAAGTAGATTTCGAAATTCGTGTCTATGAGCAGCACTGTGCTGCTCATATGCACAAAGACTACTTCTCGTTGTTGCTGAATGAAAAAGTTTTCAATGGGAACGGAGTCCGGGTGATTGTCGAGTTGTTTCGGGACCATCAATGCATTTAAAGTATCCGGTGTCCCATATGATTGCAGGTCGCCCTGTTGTTCCAAGAGTCCGTAGTGATGCATGCATCTGCTTGTCTGTTCTCCGGCACTGGGAAAACAAGAAGCTGGATGCGTCACCTCTTCCCGTAAAGTGACGGGGCGCCAGACGTTTATCATGTAAAATAATATGGCAGAAACATACCTTACATAGATATATGCACACACCCTGGTGTCGTTTTAGCATAATGATCGGAAGTGCATCACCCTTGCTAGTGATGCCGAGCAAATCCTGGAGCCGGTGCACCATCCAGCCAGTAAGCCTTTGAAGACAAGCGCAAGGTCATGGTCTTTCAATCTGAGGAAAATGTTCAAGTTACAATGCTTACATATTCTACAATCTTCGTTTTCTCTGTCACGGCCGCGCACGGGGATGGTCTGATCGGTTTTAAGACATCATTAAATCCCATGATGCCGCGCGACCGCATTCCAAGCGTCTCCATCGCACGCAAGCCGTGCACTGTCGGATTCAATGGCGTATCATCTAAGCATACATTAAGACCTATGCGAGATGTGTCGGTGCTCCGTTGTGTGGTGATCCGTGTTGAGCACCGGATGGCTTATATGTAATGCATTCACCAGGGGCAGGGCTACCCTCCGCCCGGCGTCATGTGGAGTTTCCACGTCTCAGAGCCGCCTCCGTACTGGCAGATGAAAGTCTTCCACCGCCCTGACCTCCAATGGCATGCCGGCGGCACCGCTCACCAGCACTGTCGAGTTCCGGGTCAGCCATAGCTTCTCAAGAGCGCGGAAGCTATCGCCGTCACCGCCGCCTCCCGCGAGCGTGACAGCGCGAAATTCCGCACCGTCGCGCCGAATCCATCACCAGCGCGCCGCACTGAGCGCGGCCGCGCCAAATCCCGCGCCGTCGCGCCGCGAGCCGGAGACGTGGGCGGGCTGCGGTGAGTCAACGTCAGGCCGTCGCCTATCTGAGAGAGCGGCCGTCGCCTTGTCGCCGGCGTCGCTTCCATGTAGCGGGCGGCGCGGCGCCGGTGCGGCCTTGGTCGGCACGCGGCACGGCCGCTCACCTGTCGCTGCCGACGCCTTACATGGCCGCCGGCGGCGCGCTGCTACGTCACCGACGCCCCGCCCCCCGCGCGCGCCGCCGCCGATACAAATGATGGCGCGCGGCTCTCCGGGCAGCAGAACTGTGCGTGGACAGGAGAGTGAAGGTGGCACAGGAATCGCATCGATCCCTGAACGGTTTCAGAGCAGCTGATCACCGCCTTCAAACACAGCAGACTAAAGTGAGTGGTCCGAGGAGAGCCGCTGGCTTTGCGAAGCCTGCGCATCGCGAAGCGGCTTAGAACGCTTGAGACGCGATCTGTATTTGTTTGGACTCTAGTACAAGGTGCCAAGAAACACCTTCCAAAGGCGTAAAAATTGAAACGTAGCGTCGTGTTCAGCATTGTTTCAGCTTACGGTTATGCATCATTGGATGCATGCACGATGTGTAGAGACAGGAGCATGTGGTTTATTCTTATTGCAATGACTGCCAACTTGCCGAACACCTGAAACTACTGCTTTGTTGTCAGTAATTCGACTGCGTTTAGCTGCTTCATAAACAGGAAGCTAAGGGACACACCACTTGATGGTTTCCAAGCACTCTCATTGGTTAAGGTTGCTTGTGCATCCATTACTCCAAACATGGTGGACCGAGCCCGTGCTATAACGCACAGGCTCGGATCTTTCGAGGTGCCGCGTGATCAGTCTGAGAAGAGCATGGTCAGCTAGCACGGTCTTGACCAGTGGCGCAGCGGCGAAAATTCCTCCGGTCGTTACTCAAGTCATCCGTTTTGCCAGCCACACCAGATCCCAGAATGAACGGCCGAAGGTCGCGATGGCGACAAACTGCCTGCTGGGTGCTTGTACCGCTGACGATCAGGCCTGACTCAATTCTTGGCCAAACTTTAGAACTTTTGTCGGCTATTTCAGCCATGTCCATCAGTGCCGGTGGCTTTCGCGGCCCTTCAGTGGCGACACAGCGGACCGGGCGACGACCTCGATGTCAAACTTCCTCTAACTGCGGGCAGTGCCGGTGAAAACGCTTCCTGCAAATGCTGCAAACCAGGAAATATAACGTGCGCAGTTAAACTTACACCAACGACGCATACGCTTCCAGCACACGGCCAGGGCATGCAGGCAAGGGTGTTGGCTGGCCACGCTGCCCGCTGCGGACGGGTTCCGCACGCCGTCCACGTGTGAGCAAGCGTTCGTGCTGTATCCACGCCTGACCAACGCCCACCTGCCCGGCAGATGCAGACCCGTGTCGCACACGTTCTGGCGGTGGCGCTGCTGGCGCTCTGGCTGCAGTCGGCGGCCGTCACGGCGCAGCTGCAGTTCTCTGAGGACTGGACGCACGGCAAGCGCGACGTCAGCGCCCAGCTGCGCCGGCCTGCGCTGCCGGCGGCGCAGGCGCCTCGCCAACCGTCGTTGCTTGACCTGCTCACCAGCGCCGGCCAGCAGGCAGAGGACACGTGCCGGCCCGACGCCGAGGCGCTCGGCCTCATCTACGACCTGGTCATGGTGAGTGGTCACATCACCCAGCGACAGCTTTGAAGCGGGGCACGTGGCGAGAAGTTCGCGAGATAAACAGGGGGTGGGTGGTAGCGCTTTGTGCCTGTTTTGTGGGTAAGGCAACGGACATGCTGGGGCTCTTGCCTGAGAAGTATGTTGAAGGATCTTGACGGATCAGCTAGCTCATGCAGCTTCATTGCAGAGTGACTGGCATGGCAGGACTAAGTATGGTTTTCATTGGTTAAAGAATGGATGGCTCACAATGAGTGTAATGCAGTTCCTCACGGTGTCCTCTCATGCCCTTCAGAGAGAAGTGGAGAAAGTGATCAACTGCAGAACACAAAAAGGCCTGCTCCAACCGTACGTCGCCACGTAAAAACGACTGAGTGTCATGCTGCACTGAACCAAAGAAGAAACGTCAAGTTCCTCCACTCGCCAATTCGCTGCGGACTTATTTATTGCCTCCCGGAGCTGTCTTGGCTTAAGCGGCCCACTGACAGCACCTGATTCTGTGCTGCTGTTGTTCGGCGCCATCTGCCGACGCCGGCGAGACGGTCACGTGATACACCGTGGTCTCAGGGTGGTGAGGAACTCTGTGGGAACGGCTCCCAATCCGCTCTCCGGTGCAGTGAGGGTCGCCTTCGACGCTCAGCGTTCAGAGGAGTGAGCGGAAACTGCATCAGAGAGGGCAGCAGAAGCCGAGGGTGGGCAGTACAGATCTCCAGTTGCGGGGGCTCCGCAGATCCATCAGTGCTCATGTGTTGCCAGTTTCAAGGCAGACTTGTACCCATGTGCTCTGCTGACAGCGGTGTGTGAGACGGTGTTTTGGACAGGCGATATGTTATTTGTCAGCCATTCATCTGACTGTGATATTTCATTGCTGTTATGACCACCATGATTAGGATGTATTTACTTATTCGCACCACGTCAGGATTTCCACATCACACCGACCGACTGTTGTGAAAACTTAAAAACTTTTGGCACAGAAATATTCGCCCAGCACAGCGAATGTGCGTCTTTACTGCTGTTCGGCTTTAACTCCAGGCAAAAAGATTCATGTGTTCAGCTGCCGTCAAATTTATCAGCCGCCAGTGTCAAGTTGAAGCTTAATATTTATGGTGAAGCATGTACTGAATGCGCAGTTCCGATATCCCTAGAAGTCAAAACGTCATTGCAGTGGCATGAATGTCTTATTTTTTATCTTCACATTTTTGTGTTAGTGGTGAATGGTGTAGACTGGCAGCTATGTCCGGAGATGACGTTCTCAATGTCGTTCTGTGTTGTTTTCAGGCATGTTATCACGCCGCTCATTGTATTTCCAGTGTTGGTGCATTCAAGTGCCATGCTGTTCGTCGCCATGTAACGACCACCTATTTATTTCATTCGTCCATGTCGACACATATTTACGGGAGACAATACAAATGCACTCTTGTATGAGCTGGGTTGTACTGCTTTGGCGATGAAATGAATCAGATTTTGACGCACATACGCTTGGAGGCGGCTTTGGTTGTCAGCCTGTCATTTTCATGCCGAGAACCACGCCTGGCAATGCTGGCATGCTGCTTTCTTCGCATGACGGAATTTGAAGACAACAACGTCCACTGCGCCACTTGTGACTTGCAATGTTATCGGCAGTCGGAGTAGCTCACACAGCTCGTCCTAAACGTGTCATTTTTGCCATGTCATATCAGTTTAATCAGTGACGCATTCGGGAGAATCCTTTTCAAAGCACTGATATGGTATGCGCGCCAGCCAGATTGACGCTGATTTACACTGTTGCAATTATCAGAAGTCCGAAAAATATCTCCTCTCGGTGCGAGGCCTGACTGGCATTTTTCACCCGATGCGCTTCCAGCAATAAGGACTTTTTGTGGGGGAGCCCGGCCGGCAATGCGATGTAATAAATACGGATAATTTTGCTATCTTTCTGCTACTTTGCACGTCACAATGGGTAGAGCACAATGTGGTAAAGCACCAGATCAGAGCATATCCGATGATGATTCAACGCATTTTTTCAGTTACTACGTTGTTTTTGAGATCTCCCAAGACATGTCTGTACGTACCACATTGTCGGCTTATGACTTGAAACCCTGAGTTTGCAGAGCTGCTTCCTCTGAATGCCGGTGCTGCATTTCTCAGACGTGTACTCTGCACCAGTGGAATGCAGTTGAATTCCGCACGATCACGAACGAACGAGGGAGGGGAGATGTACCAGCCCCTCCCCCCCCCCCCCCTCGGCCTCTGGAAAAGAGCGTCCACCTGCGTCGTTGTGAGTCCCGAAACGAAGTCAAAGTTCCGTGTCGCCCTTTCTCTCACACTTGCCATAGGATCCGTCGTCGCTGTCTACGGTGACAATACCAGCTGCATGCTACCACGTTCTCAGCGTGGGAATGCATCACTCGCATCTAGCCATGTATTCAGTTAACTCGCGGCTGAATTCCCATTGCAGCCCGACCGCCCCACGCCCGCGCCGAGCACCACCAAACTTCTCGCATGCCCTCTGAGATCTCTGCAGCTGATTCTCCGCTCCACGTGCCCTGGTTTCCGGTCACCCTGGCGACCAGCCGGACAAACGCGTGCAGCCGCGCACCCGCGTGGGTGGGCCCTGACGCACCACGGCAACGACTGCGCTAATGATCAGAGGTCGGTGCCTGGTCACGGCTGAAAATAGCCCGGCATCTACCGCACAGCACGGCCCTGGATCGCGTCAGCTGCTTACGACTAGATAAATGTTAGCCGGTCTCTGCACCGCCTGGACCAGCGCGGGCCCCACACTCACATGGCCGTGCCAGTCTCAACATTGGCTCGCCTACTGCCGGAAAGGCTGACCGGTCCCAAACAGTGACTCATGCTCTGAAATTTGTGACATGTCATTTCGTCACACTCCTAAAATGAAAGGTCATTGATTAAAGTTCAAACGAAGCTCTTTTTTCATCTGAGTTTCCAAAAAAGCACAGGCTTAGGACGACCGCATTGCGAGGCGCAGACCTTCATCACATTATCTTAAAAACCGGTCTCCGGCTGCCGTATCCCCCTGTTAATCAGGCCTCGCAGGCGCTCACACCAGGCGGTCGGCCACAACCAAATGGAGACTGCCGCACAAATTGGCAACATAACGCGTCGGAAGGTAGACGAATGCCACCGCGACAATCAGCAAGAGACCGCGACACCAGAGACTAGCCACGTACGTTTGGCAACAAATCATGAGGCTGTCCACATCCGCAATACCAGTGAGGGTCTTGGGACGTCGTAGCGTTATAGTTTTGCGCGGTGACGTTCTAGTGTACTTCACTGAGAGGATGGTGGTCCAGTTCTTGAAAATCACTGCAGCGGGGGAGTCATTTGCATCAGGATGGGGATGTGGCAAAAATATCAGCTGACCTTCCGACGAAAGATGGCGGAACTCTTCTAGAGAATTTTGCGTCGTGGTCAGCTAGTCTTAGACTGAGGCATTAAGATGGAAGGAATCCATTATATTCTTTCCTCTGAAAGTGTGCCAAATACTAAAGCACCCCGACCCGACCCGACATCACGAAACGGACGGCTCCTATCAGCCCTATTTCGCATCGGCTTCGTAAACATACTCGTCTCCAATTCACTTGCCCAGCACTTTACAGCCTGTTGATCTTGCGGGACATCTGCGTGCGTCAGAGTCGCCTTCAGCACCGCCGGATCAGCGCAGGCCCCCTGACCATGCCGTGGACCGGCGTCAGAGGCGGGGGCGGGGAGGGGGTGGCAGGCGGCTGACCCGGCGCCACCGGACCGGCACGACCCCGCGCGCTGCCACCCACGCGCCATCTCTTCAGCGGGATCTCGCGCTGACCACCGGTTACCACGACGATGACTCACGCTGACCCCAGACGCCCTATCCCTATGCACGTTTTGGTTGGTGCTGTGACTCCCCGCCGGCTAATATGGCAGGTGGGTCCGCCTATCGGCCGTCAAGTTGTCATCGCGACCCACTGCGTCACCGTCTATTTCAGCCTTCAGCACGGGTTCAGACGAAGGTGTTTCTTAACGGCACAGGTCAGTGACGACATTCGAGGAAGTGACATCATCGGTATTCGGCGTTCTTGGCTGGAGAAGACGACACGCGCGTGCCAAAGCGGACGCTGTCATTGGGTAAGGCTGCGGCAGGGGCTTAGACGTGGCGGATTGCTGCACTCTCTCGGCTGGCACCACGGCGAGCGTCACGTCCTTAAATGGCTGCTCACCATCGAGCCGTGCTGTTCGGGGACAAACCTGTTCGACTAGTGTGACAATGCGGTTGATGTAGCTTCACCTGCTTATACCACACACTTGCGCTCATACCACACCTATACCACATACTTGCACTCACATATGCATATCGTCAACGACTGGCTTCGAATTCATCCTTGGGGTACATCAAACAATGTGAAATGAGGAACTGTAAGATATAATCCGAGCCAGATGTTACATTACTAAATGGGAAGCACGGAAAAGCAGCGTCATCGATTTCAATGGGTTCTTAGACAATAGCTGCGCGCACTACTACACGCACATTCGCTCCCCTATGTGTGGAGCCAGGTATGCTTTCCCGTGGATGGAGGAGACCGTTTTGCTGAGAAATGCTGCATGTTTGCATGTGAACTCCATCTTTTCCCGTACTTTTCCCTTTTCAGGCTTTTGTTTGGCATTTCTTTAAGAGACAACAAATTAGCACATTTACTGCACATGATGGTAATTCGGTCACAAATGATTTGGTACTCTTAGCCAACACCCTGGTAATCCATCCACAGAAGCATTCCGACTCGATCATGCTAGGATCATTAACGCTATCCAAGCGAAACCAGGTATGATACAATGACGTCACCTAACTTCAGATGTCATGCTTGTGTCGGGCTGCCATAGATTTAATCACAATTTTGACGGGAAGTGGAGCTCCTGGCGATTCACTTTCCCCTTCTTTTTTCTGCACAAAATAATTGTAATGATGTAATTCAATGAATTATAGTACGATGTAAAGAGCATTGCTCCTACATCATATTACACAATATTTTGCTGAATGTGGGCATTACAGAAAGAGCAGCTAATGGTAAAAAGGCACACATGCGAAGTCCGCGCTGTCCGCTGTTGTTGTCGATGTGGCTTCGATAAGAAGAATGACGATGGTAATCGGACAGCAGTTGTGTCCTTATATGCATGACGTGACTATATCACCGAAAACTGGAATTGTTTACCAGCATTGTACATCCGGCACCAGATGTGCTGAAACTGTCAGGGACTTACTTTACGAATATGTATTTGGAGCGGCATATATGTACAGGCATTAGCTGAAAGTCCAAGCTAAGGGCTATTTTCTCTGCGCCCCCGACTTTTATATAGCACTGGTCTAGTCTATGCCAACATCTATGAATACAATATCGTATGATAATTACTCGATTAGTACATAACTTGACCGCCTTAGCGATGCAGATGAGTCTTTACAAGTCACATTTGATCCACATGGTGGCGTAACCTGAAAGACTGATATCTTATAAATGGACAGAAAACGGACCTGCGTACCCCTTGGCGCAACGTTTCTAGTTGACGCGTAACTTACGATTCCGCCCTATTGGCAGTTTGCAGTAAACTGCGATCTGGCTATCCCATTTCGAAGCACCGTGATCAAAGAAGCGGTCCATACGACGATGAGGCCATCGATGTCACCATCACTCCTCAAAGTCATTTGAAGGCGATGGAGCTCCGTTCGTGGCACGCTAGGCAACGGATGACATGAGACAAACCCATCCAACATCATCAGTGAACAATGCTGCTAGAAGGGATAGTTAAAAGAAAAAAATTCAGCCGAAGTAAAACGTAAAAGCAGATTTTCCATCATTTCCTAATAATCATCGAACCGTTCAGCTGAGATGTGACTTAATGCTGGACGAGAATGAAACTGCCGGGCTTACTGGCGGGTATTGTGTGGTGCTGACTCGAATTCTCAGATTATTTCCGGCAGTGCAGTTCCGGCTGATCAATGTGTGCTGAACGAACGACGCTTCTGAGATTCTGTATACGTAGCCGGAATGGCGGGTCCAGATCTGTTGTGAGAGCTTATGCAGATCGCTTGATCCCAGTCACCTGCAATATCTGAATGTCAGCGTAAAATGCAAAGCGGACAAATTATATAACCTGTTAACACTTAGGGCAGTCCGTGTGCATTTCTGAACATTTTTTCCACCCCCTACCCATTGGTTTCACCTTGGTTACACTGGGGTCACTGTACAAGTCATGCTTTTATGACGCACTGGTTACATTGGGCGAACCCCCTCCTGCCTGGTTTTCCAGCGTTAAACGTAGCGTCCCAGAGACGTTATGACAGTGTTAAAACTGGGATAAATGCGTCAAACGAATACGTGCGTGTCGCTTGTTATGAGAGGAAACCATTAGTGCACATCTTCAAGTCTCCACA